AGCCATTCCCACCTAATGTGTTTCCCTCATGGCTTCAGCAAAGTTTTAAAAATACTGAAGAATTTACAAAAGATTTGGAACATAGAAGATTGAATAGGACCAAAGAAAAAAGGCAGTTTGTGCTTATGAGAGATTATGGAGAACTGACATGTCTTTTGATAAAAATTTTGTTGTCGAGCATTCCAGAGCCTTGTAGTATTTCAGCTGGGCAACAGACAGACATCCAGAGTGCTTTCTCTCTGCCTGGTATCTGCTTGCTATGTAGTTTCCTGATATTTCTTTCGATTTGATTGCCAGACCTCTAGCACTGTGACTGTTCATCAACTAGAATTACCCTTTTGCCCAGATAAATTCTCATGCTATGTGCCGGGAGCAGAAATCACCCTCTCCCCTACTATTATTTCTGATATACCCAATGGCCTGACTAAAGACCCCTTTTATTTATTATTAATTATTAAGTTTATGTGTTTATTATTATTATTACAGATATTCAGACTCCACCAAGAGCAAATAATTATGAGGGTCCAGTCATTATGGTCTTGTGAATTCAGCAAAGTTTCCCATCTTCTCTACTTCCTAACCAAAGATATTATGATGCTGTGGGAAAAGCCCCAATCTGGTTTTGGTACATGAGGATTCTAGCCCTTGTTCTGCCACTAACCAGCTGTGCAACCTTAAAGAGATCTTTTTATTTTCCTGTGCTCAAGTTTGCTCAGCTGTGAAATAGAAAGGGTCAGGTTGCATGATCTTCACAACCCAGTGAAGATATAAAATTCTGTTACTCTCCATATACATGTTTAAATAGCCCTAAGTTAAAAGTGGAGGTATTTTCTACAGGTGACTACTAAACCACTGACTCTACGAATTTCAGCCCATGTTATGAATGCTCTTGTTTTTTAAGCTCAAATCATACATTCAGATATTGGTGGACAGAGGGTGACAATTTTACTAAAGATGGCTTCATATTCTGCCAGCCAGGCCAACGTCCCAATCATATTTAGTTCTTTAAAATCTTTTTTTTTTTTTTGGATGGCCGGTTAGCTCAGTTGGTTAGAGCAGGGTGTCCCTAACAACAAGGTCAAGAGATTCAGATCCCTGTACTGGCCAGCCGCACACCTCCCCCTGCATATTGTTATTTTAAGTTAACCTCAGAAGACTTTGCTCATTAATGAGAGGAATGGTATTTAGACAAGGATGGTTACTTTTTGTTCTGCCATAAGTATTGACATTTTCCCAGATATTTCTTGTGGTAATTTGGATAATACCCATGCTAAAATATATATATTTGTATATTTATATATATATGATTACTGCCCAATGTGCACGTGTACATAATTATAAAATGTTCTGTTTCTTTAGATTGCTTACAAGTTCAAAACTAAAGTCCACTAAAATCACACCATGATGTATATATATATATTTTTGTAAAATTAGCTGTTAAACAAGAATTAGTTATATATTTAATGCATTCTAATGGTATTCTTTATAGGCTATAAAAATAAAATGCTATATCTTAATATTTTAACATAATACTTTAATACACAAGTAGTTACTACTGATATACTGTATAATGTTTATACTATAGTGTAATCTAATGATTAGTTTTTACATGGCTAAATAAGAGTGATGGAAATTAATTATATATTTACAAGCTCCTTCACTGCTTGATTTGTGGGTAATTTTACTGTCCAACACTAATTTGGTCACATTTTCTAATATTTGATGTAAATTATAATTGATATTATTTGAGCTCCATCCCCTGTGTTAATTTGTCATTTGATGTGATTTGCTCCATTTTCCTAGTAGCAGTTACTTGGCGAGCTGTCAGAGGTAATACCCACATCGTTCCCTCATGGCACTTTTTTTCATATAATTTTTTGGATTCAGTCTCTGGACTTAACACCCTCCAAATGTTCCAGCTGTGCTTAGTTTTTACTGCAGAGTTCCAAAAGACCAAATTTAGAGGAAAAATGTGTAATTTAGAGTAGGTTATTCTTTTAAGAACGGTTCAATTTTAATGGCTGGATTTACTTGCATAATTTCCCTCTGCAGCAGTACCTTGCATGGATCAGGAGCTTCTATCTCAATCATTCCAACTTAACTCTCAATGAGAAAGTACATTTCCTGTGAGGTGTAGTAATTCTGACTTCTTTCAGAGAAAGAGAGACAAAAAGATTTTGTTTTAAACAGAACTTTGTATTTGTGGGAGATACTGGGCAAGAGTTAGGAAGTGACAGTTATGGTGCAGAAGTGGGTCTATACCAGGTTCACCCACCATCTCTGTTTGCCCCCAACTGAGGGGTCTGTGGGGACATGGGACTTTCAGTGCTCAGTATTGGGGAAATCCCAGGCAAACCGAGAAAAGTTGGTGAAGATTTCTTTTCTGTATTTGGAGCTTCAGCACCTTTGGTTCAGCAGAAAGAAGTTCAGAGCACAGTTGTGTTCTATGAGATTTCCCCTAAGTTGAGGGCACATGGGCACCATCAGTTCTGTACCTTCAACTCAAACAGCCAAGAGAGAGCAGCAAGGAAGAGAGGAGCAGGAGTTGGGCAGCAGGTAAAGAGGCATGGACAAGATAGATAGGGACATGGCACGGTGCTCTCAGGAGTCAGTACTGATTCTCTTTCTTCTGCACCGAGAATTACAAACCAGTTTCCACAGCAAAGGTGTCCTCCTTGCCATTTCAGAATAGGTGGTAATGACTCAAGAAAGGTATTTTTCCCCCTTTCCATGTCAGAGGTTGGAAGCATAAGGCAGGAGAGGACCAAGAAAAGAGGAGAATATGCAAGTAAATATAATTTATGGCATAAAACAAAAAAAAAATTTCATAAGGGTTTTCTTTACTTTAATCAAGTACGTGTGTGTGTGTATATATATATATATAACTTATTTGGTTAGGTCATACCGGTGAAATTGCATTATGTAGCAATGACATTTCATAAGGGTTTTCTTTACTTTAATCAAGTACGTGTGTGTGTGTATATATATATAACTTATTTGGTTAGGTCATACCGGTGAAATTGCATTATGTAGCAATGACAGATGAATGAAATGAGGCACAGAACATTTGGTGAGCCTGTCTGCAAGCTTGACTGTGACAGTAACACAGAGTGTATTCAGTTTTTCACACTATTATTTGATGGATAGCAAAGCACTAGCTGTTCTCGTTTTTATGAAGGCAGAAAATATGAATCATATCATGGAATGCAGAGTCATGGCATTTTTGTTTATACTTTAAAAACAATAATTTAAACTGACATTTTTGAAACAGTAATTCACTAACCCTTCATGAAATTACGTGCGGAGGACATTCTTGTCAAGGGAATATTGCATGTACATTAACCAGATGACTTTGGTGTGTGCTAAGTATTACATTTTGTGACGTTTGCTGTATTTTGATTGCTTTAAATGTTATTGGCCCAAATATAGGAAGATTGCTTTGTGGGGTATAATAATACTACTACTAAAATATCCTAATACATTATTGAATATATTAAAAATGTTTCTAGGCTTTGAATGTTGAGGGGATTCACAATCTGTTTCTGACCTATTTATCTCCGTGGCCTAATCTGAAAATCTCTCCCCTCTACTCCTTCCCTTCCTCCCCATGTCTCTGTCCTCTTTGCCCCCCTTGTCCCCCCAGTATCTAGCAGCATGATCAGCACCTCTTTCAGATCTACTTCTGTCCTTGCCTAATATCCTTCCCACCTTCTCCCCCCACTGGGTGGTGAGTAGCTTCTAAGAAGACAGCGGAAAGGAATGAGGGCTCGCGCGCCTCCGGTTTCCACAGGTGTCACGCATTTGCTGTGAAGGCGACTGTGATAAAGCTCGGTGTGTTGTTTTTTGGGGAATGATTTGATTAAGAAATGATGTGTGTGTGCGTGCTGTGTGTTTTTATATTTCTGATCTCTGTGGAAACTGGGGAGGACTCTCTTCAAATCAATGTTACCTTATATTTGGGCCAATTTAGAACTTAAAAGTAAATCCTGTTCTAATCAAAGGACCAGATTACCAAAAGGTCTTTTTGCATTTTACATGCTAATACTACATTTTAGGAAAACTATAATTGTGCCAGTGCAGTATCTGAACTTTACCTCTATTACAAGTCATTGCTCTGTATCTTTGATTCTACAAGAAAATGTGCCTTTTGAGAATTTGGAGCCTCTTACAATGTAGTTACCTCTTCAGATCATTTTGTTAGATGTAAAGTTTTGACTATGGTGTGTGTTTTGATAAACGGATATACACAAATACTTTTTTAGCCTAATGATCATAAATGAAAAATTATTGAAAAGCTTTTTATCAGCATCTACCTTTTTAAGTACAAATCTCCACATGCATTTTTCTAGCATATTTTTGAGTTACAGTCATAAACATTTAATTAAGGCCATACCATTACCCTTAAAATGATTCACCCCACAATGTTTCCGTTTAAACAAGTTCTGATTTTAATAAATTAGCACTAAGATGATGCAGAAAGGGGTATACCTTGGAAAAAATTTAATATCAACAGTTAAGAATTATTTCTTAGGAATAGCATAATTAAAAATCTTTGAATATAGCATACATTTAAAATAAGGAATAAGTGATGCTTTATGCTATTGACATTTAGACTTCCAGTGCAATTAGAAGTTATTATTGGTGTAAATTATAAATAATCAGAAATCTTTTTACCTTCCCTGGCCTTCCAAGTCCAAATTTGGTTTTTTTGAACATTTATTACTAGAATACTACTATTTGCTATTGGTGTATCCTTAAATGCCATTTTGCCTTTGAACAAATATGTAGAATGTTTAAGAGATTATTTTTAGTGATTATCATAACCACATAGGATTACAGATGTGTGTGTGTACACACACTCACACTGACATAAATTTGTTATGGGTTTGCAAGTAAATTTACAAATAAATAGCCAACACTGTCCTATCAAAGTATAATTTGTTTTCCCAGCCTAGGTATATATTTTCACAATTTCAAGTTAGTTATTTGTCTTTTTATAGAAACAAAGGATGGAGTGTGGTCCAAGACCAGCTGATACTCCCTCTGCTCCATCACCTCCTCCAGCACCAGCTCCTGTTCCCATCCCCCTTCCACCTTCTGCTCCAGCACCTGCTCCTGTGTCAAAGGGCCCAGCAAATGTTACCCGTCAGAACAGCAGCTCCAGTGACAGTGGAGGCAGTTTTGTGCGAGATAACCAGAGACACAAACAGCTTCCAGTGGACAGTAAGTTTCCCCAAGAAGCAAAAAAGTTTCTCCTGGGAATTAAAAGCACTATTAAGTAAAATATTGCTTAGTATTAGTTCTCCTGGTATTAAATATTATTAAATATAAATAATGGTCTTTTATACATGCATGGTACTTCATTGGTTGCAAAGACTTTCACCTAGTTTCTCATCTTCTAAGTAATTCTGAGAAACAAGAAATTCTCTCCACTCTCTAATGTATGTATTAAATTATGCTAAAGTTCCATGCTCATATTCCAATATATTGTGATGCTTGCATGCATACTGGAACCAGACATACTGGAGTTTGTACAGTGAAAGATCACCTACCAGAATGTGACCTTCAACAGTTTAATAATCCTTTCTATACTTCACTATCTGAAAAGTGGGGGAAAAATAATGGTATCTGCTTCACAGGAGAAGTGTGAGTATTTAAAGAGATAATGTATGTAAAGCATTTAGTCCAGTGGTTCTCAGCCAGGGTTGATTTTGCTCCCCTCCTCCCTCTGGGGACATTTGGTATTTTCTGGAGACATTTTTTGGTTGTCACAGCTCAGAGGATGCTATTGGCATTTAATGGGTAGAGGCCAAGAATGTTTAGCAACATTCTACAATGCATAGGACAGTGGCGCACAACAGACTTATCTGGCCCAAAACATCAGCAGTGCTGAGGTTGAAAAACCCTGGTTGATTTTGGCCAGTGTATGGCACATTATAAGCAGTCAGTAAATATTTGCTGCTGTCATGTCAACATCATCTTCATCAGATTGTCATCATAATCTTCCTGCTTCTCTTTCTCTTATTTGCTGTGCTCAAATATATGCACAATTATACTAGTTTAATATAATCACCTGCCAATAGCAGTCTCAGATTTACCCTCCAAATTCAGATTTCATGTGATTTAAACTTCAACTTCATACTTACATCAATTTAAATGTGATTTTTTTCATATGAAGAGTTTCTATGAAAACCATACTTGAATAAACTAAAAAAAAAAAAAGACACCGTGGTCAACTTTGGATTAGCCTTCTTAGTACTAGGGAATAGAAGTGCAGATACTTAGAAAACTGAAGATACTTCTAAGATGAGTTTTATTTTGCTTTACCTTGTAATATATATAGCATGTCTGTTTAATCTCTAAATTGTGTTTCTTAAAAGTATTCTAAACTTACTTTGTTTTACCATGCTTGATATATAAAAACTCTTGGAAAACTAGAGCCAGGAAGGTATTTTGTATTTTCTTAATATGATAAAAGTTTATATAAAAAAGGGTATGTGTGTGTGCGTAAAGGATATCTGTCATTTTTTCAGTATGGGCTACTCCTAAGTTTCTGCATTCTTTTCTCCAGATGATCAATCTATTTCTCTTTCCTTCAGTACTATATATAGTTGGAAAATGAATGATTCCCAAATTCATCTTCATACTATATCACACCTCTGACATCCAGATGCATGTATTGAACTATTACCTTTATAGCTGAGATTGGATGCTTGAGATTCATGTTCAAAACTAAGTTATTGAATCTTTCACTCCCATTTTCACCCTGCTGTTTTTCTCATCTCGGTGAGTCACAGCCACATCTATTCAGTTTGGTCATTCTCGATAAGTTAAAAAATAATAATAAAAAAGACACTAAAACGATTACTATTTAACTGTTCTAGAAGTTCTGATTAAATATACTAAGCACATGCGTGTGTTCACACATTACTTTCTCTCCCAAAGTATAGTGTATTTAAATAACCTTCTTATCCATATCTTGACCTAACCAGAAAACTAAAGGAAAAATGAAGTTTTGGAAAAGGAATTCTCTCTCTCTGCAGCAAAACTGACTGTTTATGGGTGTGTGCATGTGCGTGTGTATAATTATGGTAAAATATATGCTACAAACTTTTTAAACTTTTAAAATATATGTGGATTTTTTTAAGAGATGCTTTTTTTTCCACCCCCAAAGACACTAACAACATAGTTTTAAGATGAGAAATTTCTATGAATATTTTTATTGATTTCCCTAGGGAAAATTTTTCTGTTAGAAATAACTGCTCCTTTCTTCATTCTCACCACAAGTTCATAACATTTCCCTTCTTTGATACTTCAGCACAGTAATCTTTGACACTGTGGCATTCTTTTTCCAGGCCTAGGATCAGAGTTCACAGGCATCCCGTCCCCATTTGGAACAGCATGTGGGTTGGGACAGTTTGTTCTTTGTCTCACTCTAAAAAACTAAGAATAACCTAATGGGAAAGAGGCATAGTCTGAATACTTTTAAAGACAGAGAACTCTCCTGATAATTGTGACTCATCATTTCAAGTCTGTTTTTTGTTAATACAAGAATGTCATTGGTGTATAAACTATAAACATCTCTCCCCAAATTAACACATGTACTTGTTTCCTTAAAATAATTAAATCTTGCAATTACTTATGTAAAGTCCTTTTTAAAGATACCTCAAAAGTATAGTTTGACATTAAATAAATATATTTCTTTTTATTAAACAAATATTTCTTTATAGCATGTTTTTTGGAGAATACTTTTTGTTTGTTTGTTTTTTCTGAATGAATGTTGGGGCTTCTCAGCAGTCTTTTAGGACCAGATAGACATGTTTAAGTGTGTACTTATTGATAGATAGCCAGATTTCTCTCAAAATATTCATGCTACCTACATAATCTGCTTACTGCCTAGGCTTCTCATAAAAACAAAATGGAACAAGAAAGCAAAGACTCATAACAATGTTATCAAATAGCTATGAACAAGGGAAAAAAGCCTACATGCCTGTTTTTAAAATGTAGCAATGGCAAGAGTGAACCCCTTTTGCTGAAATGTGACTATGCGTTACCTGTTCAAAATAGCTTCTCAGAGCTGTGTGTCATAAAGCTATTCAAATTGGTTTATTGTAGGATCCAAAAACATTCTCCTCTTACCACTTTTCGAAGATACTAACACTTTAGTTGCTTTATGCGTTACCTGTTCAAAATAGCTTCTCAGAGCTGTGTGTCATAAAGCTATTCAAATTGGTTTATCGTAGGATCCAAAAACATTCTCCTCTTACCACTTTTCGAAGATACTAACACTTTAGTTGCTTTGTATTTCTTTCATTTCCTTTGAAATGCTAGCCCTTTTATTTGAGTTTATTCTTTTGTAATCAGGAGTGTTATTTTAGAAAGAGGTGTAAAGTTAGTCCGGTTTGTTGTGTGCTAGAACACTGAAAATGGAAACCAAAACCCAGGAGCACATTAGAAAGAGTTTTTTGTACTCCCTGGAAGAGGACTATGCTGTGGACTGGTGGCAACAACTGATGTAGTGGCTAAGTCAGTGGATTAAAGAATTAAGCTTTTTAATGTGGTGATACTTTTCTTTTCCTTTGAGATGTACTCATGCTGTATGGCAATATAATGTAATGATTTAAAATAGTTAACTAATGAAATAAATGCTTGTAATGTATTACTTAAATGTAACAGTCAGTTGTATGCTCTCTCACTCTCTCTAGCCCTCTTTGTTCCCTTCCTCTCTCCCTCCCTCTCTTCTTCCCTTTTCCCCTTTACTTTGACTTCTTTAAAAAGGTTTCCTAAATACTTGAGGCATTAAAAAAATAGATTGAAATAACACTGGTTATTTCACACTTTCACTTGTTTCCCAAGGGCATCACTTTCTAAAACACTTTCTCCAAAAAAAATAACAAAGATCATAGAACAATGATCACAAAAGCTCTCTTAGTGAGCAGGTCATTGCCATTTGCCAAGTTAATTAGTTAATTTGATTACTATATCAGTTCTTTATTCTTAATTCTTGAAAGGGATATACAAACAACTTAATGTACCTATGTAAATATACACACACACATTTTAAAAATACGCACACAAACAGATTATTCCCCTTCCCATACTTTCATTTCTTTCCCATTTTTTTTCATACCAGTATGTTCATGTACACATCTTTACCATAAACATAAAATGGTTATGGGAGAAGGAAAGTAGATGAGTTAATTAAAGGTAGTTTCAGTGACTTTAGCTATAAAACAGCCCTGAGATGAATGTCAGAAGATCCAATTCTAGCTAAATTCTACTACTGATTAACAGTGTGAGTTTGACAGGTCATTTATCTACTTTTGGCCTCCATTTTCTTATCTGGTTATTTAAGGGGGGTGTACATGATGATTTTCAAGGTCTCTCTCAGTGAAGAAGTCATCAGAATGCCTCATTCATTCATTTATTCAACAAGTATTTATTGAATCAATACCATTTCAGGTGCTGGGATATTGAAGTAAACAAAACGGAAAAATCTTGTTTTCTCCTCAGGCTTATATTTTAATGAAAGGAGATAGATAAATAATCAAGCGATGGAGAACATTAGAAAGTTAAGTGGTTTGAAAATAGTAAAGCTCTGTAGATAGAGAGTGCTGTTGAGGAGAGGGTTGCAGTTTTAAACAGGTCAGGAGAAATCTAAAGAATTGGCCACTGGAGTTTAGAAAAGTGTAGTGGAGAGATGGGGGCAAAAACAATGACGTGCATTGTGATGAATTTAAGAGAAGATAGGAGAATGGGAATAGTATAGATGACTAATATAGACGACTTTTCATGGAGTTTTGCTAAAAGGGAGCAGAGAAATGGGCAGTAGCTGGGAGGGGACATGGTAAAAAGGGCTTATTTAAAGGTGAGAGAAATAATAATCAGCAATGGCGTGTTTGTATGCTGATGAAATGATTTGGTAAAGGAAGAAAATTGGTAACATAGGATAAGTAGGAGAGAAATCACTGTCAAAATATTTAAATAGTCAGAGAACTTGGGGTCTAGTGCACACACCGAGGAGTTGGCCTTAGGAGCATGGAAGCAGTCTATCTATAATGTAACAGGAAAGATGGCAGAGTGTGTGGGGAAGGTGCTGGAAGGAAGGAAATTAGAAAGCAAGATTATCAGTTCAGGGTAAGGACTGAGGAATAGGGTTGGAGCTCTGCAGAGAAGGTAGAAGAGTGTCAATACTTGTTTAAGACAGTGGGCAATTATATGGTCTAGGGAAGGGTTTCTTAACCTGGGCCCTCTTGACATTCAAGACTGGATTCTCTGCTATAGGAGGCTGACCTACGCATTTTAGAATGTTTTGTGCACCCCAGGCCTCTACCCACTGCATGACAGCAACAGCCTTTCCCCATTACCTCTGTCAGTTGTGACAATCAAAAGTGTCAACAGACATTGTCAAATGTACCCTGGAGTTCAAATTATCCCCAGTTAAGAGCCACTGGTCTAAGGAAATGTAGTATGATTGTCCGGGAGCATTAACAGCCCAGTTGAGGTTCACAATCATAAATTTAATATGAGATCATTCAGCATCATTGTGTTATATTCAGCTGTGCAGGTACAGGCACAGAATAAGCAGAAAGTTAGATTTAACCAGGGTTGAGATTTTGCCCAAAGAGTACAATGAAGAGAGAAGAGAAGAGTCATGGGAGTTCTTTTAATAATTGATCTTAGAATTCATACTGGGTGAGGAGAAAAGTGAAGACAGATGGTAGGAACACTAGATTGTAAGTTCTGTTGGGGTCAAAGGATTCTTGGGCTTGGGATTCTAGAGAGAGTGACATCATGTTAGGGATTTTCAAAACTGACCTACCTTCTGCTGGTGTCTAGGAAGGAAATCTCAGATGGAGGAAGTGCAGGATGAGCTCATCCACAGGCTGACCATTGGTCGGAGTGCCGCTCAGAAGAAGTTCCATGTGCCACGGCAGAATGTGCCAGTTGTCAATATCACGTATGACTCCACACCAGAGGATGTGAAGGCATGGTTGCAGTCGAAGGGCTTCAACCCTGTGTAAGCCTCTCTGTGAATGCTTCACAATTTTGTGTCAAACATGCAATGCTTTGAATTTGATTACTTAGATGTCACAAATGACTCTTTAAAAATATATGAGCCCAGACTGCATACTTTGTTTCATACTCAGGATATGACTATAGCCATTCATTTCTAAAAAAGAATTGGAGGAAGCAGAAATAACTGTCATTTATTGCAACCCCATTTTCTAGTTGGTAATATCTGTGCATCATTGGTCCCTTAAGCTAAACTGTCAGCAACTTTGAGGCCTGACACAGGGCCTCAAAGCTTACATAGGGTATGACCTCACCAACTTACACAGGGTATGACCATGAGCTTAGCTGTACTTCCCAGACCATGTAGGACATAGAGCATAAGCTTTTCTCCTGCTTCAGGATATATAGTGGTTTAGACAGTAAAAAATAGATAACTTTACCTATCATAGATTATAACCTTAAAAGAGCTTTTCTTTTATAAACGTATGGTAAAAGTTCTAACTCTTTATCTGTAATCTAAAAGTCTATAAACACTTTATGTGTATTCGGTACAATGAACTACTTAAATAACACATATTCAAGGAATCTTGACATATTATAAACTCATTTACCCAGCATAATTAAAAAATGAGGTACTATGGTTAGTCAATTGTTAGGTTACTAGAAAGTTATCTATTCCTTCTACGAAACACCAAATTTCAAGGAATTGATATTAAACAATAATGGCACCAAACCCAGTTGGCTCCTTTTTGATGCTTCATAATTAATCATCTTGTACAGCCTCAGGGTCATCATCATGAAAGTTCCCAGTCCCTTGTCATTGTCCTCACTAAGCACTGTAGTGCCATTCAGTTAGAATTCCAGTTGCTAGGAGAAACAGTAAATTTTCTCTTTCGTTTTTTTCTAAGCAGTATTTTTAATGTTGTGTTCCTTGTTGTTGTTTTCAGGACTGTCAATAGTCTTGGAGTATTAAATGGTGCACAGCTTTTCTCTCTCAATAAAGACGAACTGAGGACAGTCTGCCCTGAAGGGGCGAGAGTGTTTAGCCAAGTCACTGTACAGAAAGCTGCATTAGAGGTATGTCTTGTCAACCTAAGGTGATATTTTTCTGTGTTAGTCAAGACTGTGGACTGCAGATTGAAAGCTCTGGAAACAACTGTTTATGTCCATATGGGCCAATTTTCTTTTTTTACAGAGCTGAATTGAATTAAATTTGACTCAGTTTTTACAAATTTGTCACTGGACACCATCAATGACCATTTGCAGGGAAATTAATTTGGTATATATGCTCATATAACATGAAGCTTGAGCATATGCTTTTGGACATTTAACAAAAAGCATAATGTTCTCATTTTATATGTACTAATTACTTCTATAGGAGTTTTAATTTTGGCACAATAATGAAAACTCATGTCTAAATGAGTAAACGCCTGAAGAAGTCAGAACTCTTTTGCTTGTTCTTAATGTTTAGTTTGGAGATTCTAGTAGGTTATAGTTATAAGATCTTAAAACTCTGGTGCGTTAGGCCTAGTTATACATCTAAATAAACAGCGGGGGGAAATAGTGTAGGGATCATTGAAAATGGAGAGCTCGGAAGAGAGAGTCATAGCTGTCTGTATGAAAGCGGGAAAGTAAATGTTTACTATTACTGGTTATACTTAAGCTTTCAGTATTCTACTTTACTTAAAATAAGTTATGTAAGGGTAGTAGTTTCCAATTGTTACATCTCACAGCTCTTAAATAGTTTCACGAAAATTATACTTGTATTCAAATGAAAGGATATAGGCTTTGGCAGGAAATTGATGCATAATTATCTCTAGCAGGTATTTTATATAAATTCAACAGTTAAATAACTCTGGGTAAAATATTTTCATGCACACAAACCTGTAACTAGTCTCAATCAAGACAAATCATATTTTCCTTAGCAATTTTTCCCACAACATTGTTCTTGGGGTTTCTGTGTTAGGGTTTGACATAATTGCTTTCTAGCTCCACTATGAATAAGGATTATATCTTTTCTCAACAGTGTTGTTACCATTATACATACTAATTCTTTATGATAATAAACTACTTCCTAAGGATATGTTAGAAAATTTCATATTCCTAGAATTTCTGAATTCCTTCATTCCAGAACTGCCTATTAGTGATATTTGCCTGCACTGATGCTTCCTCATGTCTCTTGCTGCCTGTTCCTCTGGATGTGAGTCGAGGCAGAGGCTGAATACCTGAGGTTCTTCATGTTCTCCCTCCCACCCCCAGCTCACCCCACCCTTCTCAGGGATGTAGTTCATCTTTTAGATCACTCACCTGTATTGCCAGACTTCTGTTGATGAGATGGAGTAAGCAGAGGGTACACAAGGATCGTAGGTAGGGTGGGGAAAGGGGAAAGGCCGGCATGACCACAGGTCAGAACTGCTTGGAGGGAAACTTACTGTATTCTGAGCCCACTCTGTGGCCTGATTTAAAAATCTCCAAAAGGCAGAGGAGTATCTTGCTTAACCCAAAAAGGAATCTTTGATAATTTACCATATTACTGTGTTCGTTGTACACATATCTTTTTTCTCTCAGGGAATCTGGAGCATTCCGTGTGCATTACTGATGTATCATTATAATTTTCATATGAAAGGCATGGTGAATGAATTGCCTCCAGACACTTTGTAAAACGAATAATTATTAATATGATATGTAAGTGAAGTCCAGAAACTTCACTTATATGGATGGGGCAGCCTTTAGTGTTCCAAAAGAGATACTAGAAGAAAATCACAGTGGACTTTTGCCCTGAGCCATTTCATTCCATGACCTGCAGCCTGCGCAAACCAGTAACCATCTTGTCTGAACCATGTTTATTTTACAGGATAGCAGTGGCAGCTCTGAATTGCAAGAAATCATGCGAAGACGACAAGAAAAAATCAGTGCTGCTGCTAGTGATTCAGGAGTGGAATCTTTTGATGAGGGAAGCAGTCACTAATTAGTTTGTCGTTTGTTTTTAAAACTCCATTGTTCTTGGAATTATTCCACCATGTTTTGTTTTAAGAAGCCTTGAAGGGAATGTCAGATTCATTTTTCTTGGTCTACAAACCTGAGTAAACAGAGAACTTGCTTCTGGGCCCATTATTTTTATTAAAACTGAAAAATCTTAAACTGAATTTTTTGATCTTGAGAAATGTTTTTCCTACTTTACCAAGGTGAGATTTCCTTTATTAGATTGATTATTTCATCCCCATCTCAATATATAAGCAGGAATTTTTTGACAGTGGTGAATTTATTCACTGCAACAAAGCAAACTTATTGTCCATGATTCAAAATCTAAACAATTTCAACTTTGCCTGTTAGTATGGTGTCTGTTATTCAGGGTATAGCTCACTTTAGGCTAGCCCCTGCTTACTTAGGTCTCTTCTCTGACATACTCAATGATAGAATATTTACATTTATTTAAAGTTCTCAATGCCAACAGTTTAAAAAAAATTAAAACATTTGAATGAACTGTAAAGTACAGCCAGGCCTTGAACACGCAAATATAAACCTATGGAGCATTCTCAAGATATTTTGTTTGTCCTGGCTCTGTTGATCATAATTCCTTGTATAGCTTGTATTTTGATTTAGTTTATATTCTGATTGATTATTATGTATACTGTGTTCTTATGTGTGAGAAAGCACAAGTGGGAAAGAGGTCATATACATTCAAAATCAAAGGAAGTAGGCTGCATTGGTGTGCATTACAGTATTTTGCTTAAGGAAAGCCTCAGTTCTGAACATTGCTATAAGTAGTTAAAAGGAAATTAGGGCCATTTTATGTGTTTATCTGTGTCAAGTCTTTCTGGTAATAAGAAACAATTTACAAATATTTTAATCCTGTGAAAGATTCTAGGTTGAGAAAAAGATACCTAACCTTCAACAAATGTTATTTTTGGAAACATGATTTTTGTCATTAAATGTAATATTATTTCACATATATAAAACAGATGTTATGTAAGAATGTTGTATATTTTAACATAAATCCATTTAGAGAGATTATCTAGAGTCATTAATTTTCATAGTGCCTTTTTCACATGAGTCAGCTAGGAAGTCTGCAATAAACAGTATTTGCTGGATGTTAATAAATGGCTTCTGTCTCATTGGGAAAAGGGGTCTTCACTACATAGACTGGGGATTAGGGTTGAGTGGAATGGGAACAAGTAGAGCTCCACCCTTTTTTTTAAAAGCTAGGTTCTGGCCTGTTTCTGAGTGTGTAGAACAGCTCTAGAGTGCTTCCTTCAGTTGCTTCTTTTCTTTCCACTTCTCCGATTTCACCATCTTTTCCTTCTACCATCTAGTCCCAGTTGTAACAGTAGTGAAAATGTATTTACACGCACTTACAAATTGCTGAATGCTTCCACATAAATACTTTACTAGATATCTACAAAAACTCTGTGAGTTACAGGTAGAACAGCTCTAGAGTGCTTCCTTCAGTTGCTTCTTTTCTTTCCACTTCTCCGATTTCACTATCTTTTCCTTCTACCATCTAGTCCCAGTTGTAACAGTAGTGAAAATGTATTTACACGCACTTACAATTGCTGAATGCTTCCACATAAATACTTTACTAGATATCTACAAAAACTCTGTGAGTTACATTTTTATGGATGAGGAGATTTAGCTTCCTAGGGTCTGATTTTCTGCAGATTGTGAAGGATGTGGGAGCCTCTCATCTTCCACCTCTCAGCCTCTTCATAACACTGCCCCTTGGGTAAAGTACAGCAAATGTGAGAATGATAAAGGAGAATTCGTTTAGGTCTTTTACATTTCATAAGCAATCACATGTATTTATAACTGAGCCCTTATTGAAAATCTCTGAAAGTAAACGGATAAGAAAAAAGAAAATCAGATAAAAATAATGTCAAGAAACCTGTGTGTAAAGTAGCATATTTGGTATTTAAAGAATGGGTGTAATTTATGTCTTTATGCCAAAGGAAAAGGATACTTGCCAAAGGAAAGTACCACAGAGGTAATAATTACAGGAAGCAGTTATCTCACTTAGGGCCGTGGGGACAAAGAGAAGAGATTAATAGAATTTAGAAGCTTGAGGGAGAGGCACTACAGGGATTGGATCCAGACATCTAAGGAGTTTGGTCACTGGTATCTGAGAAGTTTGGAGAAAAGACCCCACAAAGCTGGCAAACAAACTCTGACCTGAAAAGGGAGCACAGCCTAACTGGTGCTGTTGCTGCAGGAATTCAGAAAAGAGTTCAGTAATTGAGAAAAATACTACAGAAAATCCATGGAGCTGGGACTTGGGCCTCTGAGGAGAGCATGCCAGGCGTCTGGTTCTTGAATCTCTAAGAGGGCACGATGAGGCTGCTACTGGGAGTGTGGGGAAAACAAGCTTGTGACTTGAACCAGCTGCTCCTACTGGGAATCATTTGCTACTTATACAGTGAAGAACAATTGTTAGGATGATATTGATAGAAACAGAAAATAAAACAGGAAGGAGAAGTCTCTTGTTTCCCCTTTAACCTTCTATGTCTCTAAAGAATATGCCTTGGGAAGAATCTATAAGGCAAAGCCCCAAATCACAAAGATGAGAATAAAGGAGTGGATTTGAAACTGAGAGAATAACTTAATAACCAACCCATTCCAACTTCTTGATACTTAGCCTGTATACTAACTCTTCTATAACTATTTGAAATTTTATACAATAACAATAATGGGGCTGAGACAGAAACTCTTGATGGGAGATTCTGGCCAGTTGATGCTGGCATCTCTGAGGGCGTATGATGATGTTGGTTCTGCAAAGCAGGGGTAGAAACTGTAACCTGGAATCACCTACTGATGCTGGAACCAACTATTGGTGCCCGAGTGAAGATCTGTTCTCTTCACCGGTTTTCAGCTATTTGATTGTGGTGTGCCTTTGTGTAGTTTTCTTCTTGTTTCTTGTTCTTGATATTCTTTAAGCTTCTTGGAACTGTGGAATTATAGTTTTTATTACATTTGGAAAAATTTCAGCCATTACTGTTTTACTTTTTTTTTTCTATCCCTCTTGCCTTCTTTCCTCAGAAGGTTCCAATTTTATGTGCATTAGACATTTGAACTTTTCCCAAGCCCACTGATGCTTTGTTAATTTTTATCCAGTTTTTTTCTGTATGTTTTATTTTGAATAGTTTATGTTGTTGTTTTCAAGTTCACTAACCGTCTGCAATTTCTAATTTGCTTTTATGACTTCATTGTAATTTTTCATCTCAGATGTTATAGTTTTTATCCCTCAAAGTTTGATTTGGGTATTTTATTTATTTTTTAATTTTTTTTGTGACCGGTAAGGGGATCGCAACCTTTAGTGTGGTGTCATCCGCACCGCGCTCAGCCAGTGATCGCACCGGCCATCCCTATATAGGATCCGAACCCATGGCCTTGGCACTCCCAGCACCACTGCGCTGCCAGC